CAGTGGTTGGATCCAGTAACAAAGATTTGCATTTGTGTCTGTGTGTAATAACTATGTGTTTTCTTAAGCTGAAGCTTTTCAAAGGACAACTCGAGACAGAAGTCTTTGTCCTTTGTTTCTAAGGCCTGTTTGATGCTGCATGATCTATATTTAAAGGGACACTTAACTTCAAGGCAGCCTTTCCCACAACAATCATACATTGTAAGTCCATCAGGAGAGGCTCCAACTTCTGGAAACCTGGGGTTGATTATAAAACCACACTCTTCGACTTTCAGGTTTGTGTGATGCAGGGCTCTGGTGTGAAGGTAGGTCTTTTGAGCATCAATCTCATGCGCTATACCCCATCTGGTTTGTACAGTGGACACTGTGTGTTGTGGGTTGCACGCCTTTTTAATAACAGTCAGGGCTGGCTTTTCCATACTGGTGGCAAAGACTGCATGTATGTTTGAGGCAGTAATTCTTCCAGTCCGACTTGCATACCAAGCAGAAGATTTATGCTGTTGTCTTGTGCACATCTCAATAGCTGATGCCTGCTCATCAGTCACATTTGCAGCATCCCTGTATTTCTCACAGTGTAGTTGGATAGCTGAAAGTTCATCGGAATCTATTATTTTATCATACAGAGATGTTGCAAGGGACTCTGGCACTGCAGAGGGCTGTACTGTGTCTGTGTACAGTGTGTAATAGTTATCCATCCCTGACAAACCAACAGCCTTGCTATGCTGCAGCAGTGTGCCAAGCAGGGGTGACAACTCATCAAGTTTAGCTAGGGGAATTTTCCTTTTTTTGGCACGACTCCTTATGCCTGGCACAGTGGAGGGTGCTGTTATGCTCTGGTCAAGAACTGTTTTTTGCCTAGCAGATGAGGTGTAGTCTATCTTGTATCCCACTTCAGCTGTGATCTTGCTCAAATTGCTGGGCAAAACCCAGTATGCTGGTACGTCGGTGACAGTTTTTTTCCCACGAATCCGAAAAGTAGCCTCCACTTACTTAACCTCGAGAAACCGACCGAAGCCACCACATCCGGCAACGTGGGGGGTACCCGCCGAAAATTAGCAAATGAAACGGCAGAAAATAGAGAAGACTCCGCCTCAAAGAAAATCGGTGGAGGAAAACATAAAATCCCACACAGTTACCACGGGGGAATCGGAGGAGGAAATTTTCTACCCCACTGAGGAGACCCAATCCCCTAACACGTCGACTGCTAATTCAAAAGAAATAACAACCAGCATAGAAGAAGCCCAGACTCGGGGTGGCTCAACAGGAATTAGGGAACCACATTGTCCCAAACCCCAGACCGGGTCGGACACCCAGACCTACGGCCTCTTCGAACGGCATGTTTGCAAACAAAATAAGTACACCAACTGGTCCCTGACACCCAAGAGACCCATCCTCTTTTTGGGTGATTCAAACCTGTCCCGTCTACCAAGGATTAACATCGACCAAATTCAGGTGGTTAGTTACTTGGGAGCGAAGCTGGCGCACGCGTACCATATTATCAAAAATAAGACTACCACAAACCCGGATACCCAACTGGTAATAATGAATTTCGGCTTCAACGACAGGGAACAGGGCAATCCCACGATCCTTGGAAAAACCATCGAAAGGCTGCAAGGTGTTATTAAATCTACATTCCCATCGGCCAATGCTTATTTCCAACTAGTCAATTACAACAGAGGATTACCCATCAGAATTCAAGAGAACCTTGACTTCCTCAATAACATACTTAGAGAAAAAACCCAACACGTCCCACTCTTGCCATCGCGTCAGTTCAGAACAGTGGAAGACCAAATACACTGGACACCGGAAACAGCGGAAGCCATGGCAAAACACTGGCTGAAATTCTTAAACATTGACAGTACGCAGCACCAAAAGTAGTAAAAATAGAAAAAAAGTTTCTTAAAAAACAGATCGCAACAAAACAAAGTGAAAAAAAAAAAAAATAGTAGCGCCTCCATGGGTACATGTCTCCGCTACTCCTGCCATACATGTACAGTGTGCACACTCCACCTTTCCACTGCTGCTGACGATCACCCATGGCTTTAAAGGCGGTTCATTCAGTGCTGAGAGTGCATGACCTTAACAAAGACAAAACAAATGTGAATATTGTAAAACAGGTGGATATTGTAATGTTAATGTATTCTCTCTCTGCTTTTGCAACCGGAAGCGCTTGTAAAAGCAGCAGCCGCTACTTCGTTCAAACTTCGCTAATGTTACACTTTGTTTGTTTAAGGCTTTATTTATTTATTTGTATCGTTATACAAGCTTGTGCTGTACAATGACACATACACAACCTTATTGCCGGTGTCGTAGTCTACAACTATGCTAAAAGATCGAAAGCTGGTCAAGTTACCTTCGTTCGGACGACAGTGTTTTAATCGTTAATTTATTTATTTATTTTTAATTATCGGTATACAACCCTGTCTTGTATAATGACAAATAAACAATCTAAATGGCCCAATACCATTGTAACGTTGCCGGTTATAGAAACATGCTAAAATAAAGAAATCTGGTAACTTACCTTCGTTCGGATGACAGTGTTTTCACAGTTGACAGACTTAAAACATTCCAGGTCATGTACCCAACCATTGGTAAACTGAACGTGGGCTTCCAGAGACTTATAATTACGAAACTGCTCAGCGGTATAGGCACTAACACCACAAACAAAATAGGTAAAAATATCAGGAAATGTGACGGGAGGTAAGGCGTCAGGGTCGCGGATCCACTGATCTTTTGGGACCTCATAAGGATCGACATTTCCAATAAAGTAAATTTTTTCAAGATATCGTTTCTTGGCGTCCGGTAGGAGTTTGTCTCTGTACAATCCACCTTGTTTTAAACTAGTTTTAAGCATGCTCAAATAAATAATTCATACAGTCTAACTTACGACATAAACAGTGTGTGTTGCTTGGTTACCGGCTTGTGTGGACTCACAATATGGCGGATACTCCCCACAATACATTGCGCGATGACGTCGCTGTGACGTCAGTTGCCATTCTCTATAGGCCTATTTCAAAAAATGTAAAAAAATATGCAAAATGCAAAAACAAATTCCGGTCGCGCCGCCGCCCGCTACGATCGCCATTCATCCTCCGTCTCTGTCACTCACGCATCTCTCTCTCTCGGGTGGATGACGTGACATGGCAGTTTTGCTGTCTTCAGTGTCAAACATGTATGAATAAAAAATATATTTGCCAAAAACCTTCTCAATATTGTGCAGAACATTATGCTTTATGTGAACATATTCAACATTAAAACAGTTCATCACTCATTTTTTCAGAATTTTCAACCAAACATAACAAAACTCATATGGTGTGACTGTCCGGCACTTGTTTCTCAAAGTGAGAACTTTTATAAAACTAAAAAATGCAAAAATTCTCAAAAAAATACAGAAAAATAATACAGATGTCTATTTGTGAGCCTACTCTTTTCAAAGTCCAAGCATAATGTTTTGAGTCAGTTCTAATCAAAAAGATTTTGTCACACAAATCAAAATCATATGGTGTGACACTATTTTGGGATATTTGAACGGGCAACTGTTTTGACACCCTTGGGAAGGAGAGGACCTTCTTCAGCAATGTTGTACAGAACTAGCAGTGTATTGCTGCTGTACAACCTGAGGTGAGTCATCATTTTTATATTTACAATAAATCAGATCTTGTTGGCACTCTGACAAAAGTCCCACTACCAGATGTCTTTTGGTATGACACATTTTTTATAAAAATGCAAAAGAAATGTTATTATTTTGTCATAATTATATGTAAATCTATGCTGCTTTGTTATAGCTAGCATGTTGTTAGTATGCTAATGTGTAGCTACAAGACTCAAGGTTGTGCTAAGTGCAGAAAACATCATATGGTGTGACATGTCTGCCTGTCACGCCATATGATTTGAATGTCACACCATATGATATGAATTGTAATTCCCTGCATATATAACAATAAATAACAAAGTCCAATGTATGTTTTGTCATTTTAAACATTTATTCGGGTCCATTATCACATAAAAGCTGTAATTATCCACCATCGATTGTGTTTAGTTTAGTTTTATTCGGTGAAACAGATTTCTAGTTCATCAGACAGACACAGCAGACCCCTTCACAGAAACCTCAGAATGCTGTTTAAGTCTAAACAATGTTGTCTTCATCTCAAACCATACATTTCCTTTTCTTTTGTCAACTTGAGGCAGATAATGATGACAAGTGCAGAGAGGACAAAGAGATACAGGGAGAGACTGAATTCAGACCCTGCAAAGAGAGAGGAGTTGCTGAGGAAAAGAAAAGAAAAGTAAACAACAACTGTCTGTTTCTAATCGCTGACCAATAGGAAAGGTCTGAGAGTGGGAGAGAGAAGCTACAAGAACTGGGTGAAGAAAAAGAAGAGGGGGACAGTAGGAGAGCTAACTGGTTTGTTCAACCAGAGGCTCAATGCAATTGCGAGTCATCAGTTAAACTGGCTTCATCAGGTGAAACAGTTCAGACACATCAAGGAGAACATCTATGCTAATGAAATGGTCTTACACATAGACTTTTCAGAGAAATATGCATGTAAACTCAACACTGAAATTCAGGCCTTTCATTTCGGTGGCAATAGGCAGCAGGCCACATTGCATACTGGAGTTGCCTACTCAGTTAGTGGCTCCCAGTGCTATGCCACCATTTCCCAGTCCTTGCGTCACGATGAGCGTGCCGTGTGGGCACACATCAAGCCAGTTACTGATGATTTCCGAAGAAGACATGGAAATTCAATCGACACCCTGCATGTCCTCAGTGATGGGCCAGCAACCCAGTACCGGAATCGATCAAACTGCTTCCTCATGAGCAGCTTTCCCTATGCATGGGGATTCAAGAGGGTCACCTGGAACTTTTCAGAGCGTTCCCATGGGAAGGGTGCACCTGACGGTGTGGGAGGAGTGCTGAAGCGTAAGGCAGATATATATGTCCTCGGAGACAGTGACCTACAAACACCAAGGGATCTGTATTATATGATCTGAGTATTTACAAAAGTCTTCTGAAAATGTCACCATCATGTGGATTGAAGAAGAGCAGATCTCCACCATGGATGAAATGCTCCCTCCGTCAGTGCGTCCAGTGACTGGAATCAGCAGTACACACCAAGTTCTGTCTTTTGCTCCAGGAAAGATATTGTACAGAGATCTTAGTTGTTTCTGCCAGTATCCAGTGATGTGCACCTGTCACAAGCTGCACCAACTTGAGTTTGACCATGTTTTCCCTGATGAGGTGCCAGGTGACAAGACAAGTGATGAGTAAGTATTATGAGTTTCCATTAAATTATTTACATTTTACAATAATAAATAAATACATGATTTTCTTCCTTTGACTTTGAAGTGGTGGCCCATCAGCTGAAGTGCCCTCTGTCCAACCTAGCTGGCCCACTACAGATTCCCGAGCCCAGTGAGTATAACATATTTAGCTAACTTTAGGACATGCTGGTGATAACATTTCACTGCAAACAAACATTTCCCTGACAAACAAATCTCTTTCTTTGACTTAAGTGATGGTGGCTCTGCTACGGAGGTGCCTTCTTCTCCATCCAGCTTGCCCACTAGAGAGCCCCAAGCCCAGTCAGTATAAATCCTACATATTTGTAAATTGGGCAAACCCAATTTGATGGAGTAGAAGCTAGTTATTGCAATCACTGCAGACAATAGTGTCACTGACATATACATCTGTCCTTTTGAAGTTCTTCTACTCAGGTGCTGTTTGCATGTGCCCAATCAAGTGCATCAATTGGAGAGGCCCAAGCTGAGGATTCAGACACCATTTCCAATGAAGGATACACGGAAGGACAGTTTGTCTTAATTAAGTATGAGGGAAAACCAAATGTGGGACAAATTGTTGCCATAAGTATGGAGGGGCTGCAGGTGAACTGCATAATACATCGTGGAGACAAAAATAGTTTTGTCTGGCCAAATAGGCGAGACTGCATTTATTATCAAGATCAGGAAATTGTTTGTGGCTTATCACAACCTCAGCAAGGCAGTCGGTTTGCTACTCTCTCCAAATTTGACTGGCTTATGTACAATGGAGTCTAGATGAACTGATTTATTTGTGGATCCACTCAGCTACGCTGTATGTTCACGGTTCATATGATATAAAAAAATAGTTTGTTTTACTTATATTAATACATATTGCAGACCAGTTTTGAATTGAAATGAAATTTGATACACAAACATATGTTCATATGGTTCATACAATATTAAAAAAAATTGTTTTATTGTTAAATATCAAATAAATCAATACAATTTGAATATTACCTTCCAGCATTTGAGTGGTTAAATATTTCCTGCCATATGAGTGATCAGTACTCACCAATAAGTAGGATAATACATGGTTTGCATTGACACATGGCGACATTATCATATGGTGTGACACTATATAATTTGGTGTGACATTCCAAATTGTGAAAATAACATACCTTTATTAATGATAAAACCTGAAAATATTCATGTAATACATAGAAAATAGTATCAGCAAGAGTCACAAATATTTTTATCATTTTAGCAAGGTTTGTCACAATAAATAGAAAATATGTTGAAAGGCCGACAGCATAGGTCCCACATTGAGCAATGTTTTAGAAAATTATACACAAATTTAATTAATTTTCACAAAACTATAATGGATCACAGTTTAGTTATGATAAATGACTTTGATAAAGTGAGTAACTTAAGAAAGGTATAATCCATTGTCAGTTTATACAATTATTTTCATGTCACACCATATGATTGTACGCACTAATACAACAAATTGTCACATAAATTCTGATTCCAATTAAAACATTTTGAAACAACATTTGTTTCTATAAAGATGAGAGTTAGTAGAACAAAAGTCAACCTAGTTCACGCTCCGTTTCTCAGCAGGTTTAATGGATTATTTAAAAAAAGGTAAATATAGTTTCAGCGCGAACTTAAACTGCAATTTGGGAATCGTTTCGTTAAGTTCATAGGGTGAAGTCAGGTAAAGTGGGACACTTTTTGGTAAATTGCATTTTAAACAACCTAAATCAGCTAGAATGTTTTAAAAGTGTTTGAATTTTGATTAAATAGATTGTAATGAAGGCCACTATGGTGAAATTTGACCAATTTATTTATTTATTAACAAACTGTTTATCTTTAAACACCATCTGACACCCTCTTCAGCAAACTGGAAGCGATCACGTTGAGTGGGACACTTTGTTAGGAAAAGTGGGACACTATTTTATGGTTAAAATTAACATGAGAAATACAACCCCACAAAGTTGGGTAAAAAGTAAATAAAAACAGAATACATGCATTTAAAATGTGTCATCGTCATCCATAAGTCCGTTGAGCTCTCCGCAGGACTCATGATACCACCGTTGGCAGTGGCAGAAAGCCACCCATTCCTCATTGGCCTTTGGGTCGCTTGCATCCCCATAGACCCCCTTGCAACCAGTACATGGGTCACTTCCCTGAACTGTTTGCAGGGGAGGAACGGCAGGTTTTTGGGGGCGGACACCAGCAGGCTTACGGACTTTGGATGTTTTTGGTTTCTTTTTGTCTGCTTTGGCCTGGACAAAGTTGAAGTGTTCCTGGCTTGTTAGGTGGTAGCTGGGTGGCCTCGCCATCATCCTCTTCTTTCCCCTCTCTCTTGTAGGTATTTCAAAAAGGTCTGAGAACCTTACAATGGAACCCCACTCAGCTGTTGAAGTGCTAGGTAGAGAGGGTGGCCCAGTTGTGAGGGTGGAGGCATGGGGGGCTGGCCTAGTTGTGAGGGTGGAGGCATGGGGGGCTGGCCCAGTTGTGAGGGTGGAGGCATGGGGGCTGGCCCAGTTGTGAGGGTGGAGGCATGGGCAGCTGGCCCAGTTGTGAGGGTGGAGGCATGGGCGGCTGGCCCAGTTGTGAGGGTGGAGGCATGGAGGGCTGGCCAAGTTGTGAGGGTGGAGGCATGGGGGGCTTGCCCAGTTGTGAGGGTGGAGGCATGGGCGGCTGGCCCAGTTGTGAGGGTGGAGGTATGCGCGTCCTTATCAGGCTGGCTGGTTACCACCACTTCTTCCACATCAAAATAAATGTCCTCCTCTGACAACAGAAAGGTTTCTGATGTTTCCTCAATCACCCTTTCAGTGGTTTGGCTTGGCATGGCATGAAAAGTTCAGTTGGAATGACTTTTATGGAGACAGGGAACATCCCTGAGGCTCTGAAACCTATAGAAGAGTAATATGTATAATGTAATGATGCAATGTAAATAAGACAGTAAAAACAATGATCCACTTACAGCTAATCTTTTTATACAAATAATTCAATACTTATTATTAACTAATTATTAATAAAAGAGTCAAACCTGCTTGGGCATTCTCAACAGTGGCAGCCTTCTTCCACGCGGGGCTGAACACAGAAAAAAAGAGCTGTTTTGGAAGCTTCTTCCCGCCTGTCTTCCTTGTCCACTTGCGTCCCAGTTCCTGCCAGTGGTGTTTCAGGCTTCGAAACAGTGATCTCTCTGCTGGCTGGAGGGCGTGAGTGGTGTGGGGAGGATAGCTCACTACATGGATATTATTTTTCTTCATGAGCTCCAAGAATTCCAGATTGAATACATGGCTGTAGTGGCCATCTAAAAGCAGGACATGGGGTCTTGGATCCTCCTTAGGCAGCTGCGGGACAAACCGCTGGCCCCACTCCAGAAACAGCTGGGAGTTTATCCAGCCAATATCTGACACAAGGATAATTGCTTTTTCTGGTCGTTCCTCCAGCCACTCTGCCCTGAGCCTCTTTCCCTTAAAAATTACCATTGTGGGGGTGTAAGTCCCAACCGCATTGAACCCAGCCAGGACTGTTGTCGTTTCTCCTTTTTCCCCTGATTTTACCTGGAAGCAGGACTTGCCAGTCACCCCAACAAACTTTTTTGAGATGAAATGGTCCTGCGGTCTGGATTCATCGCAGTTCCACAGGTGAGATGGCATCTCCTGGATCTGTAGGCGGTGGAGGAGTGACGTGTATGTCTGAAACCATTGCCCAAATACTGTGAGATTTATCCCAGAGGCCCTTGCAGCTGAGAGTGATTCTGGCTTGCGGAGGCTCAGGTTTGGATTCCTTTTCATGAACCCCTCAAACCAGTAGTGACCGGCTATTTGCTTTTCCGCAGAAAAAACAGGGATGCCATTAATTTTGGCGTACTGGAACGCAATACGCCGTATATCACTGCGTTCCAGGGGGAACCCCCTTTCAGCTAACAATTTAACAAGGCTAGCCAATTCACTCTCAGCTTGAGGTGAGAGCAGGGGGCTCTTACCTGAGGCATGGCGGTAGCCACTCACCAGCCCTGTCACTCGCCTTTGCAGTGTTGATTTTGGGATGTTCCATGCCCTGGCTAAAAACCTTAATTTTGGTTTGTGTCCTTCAGTCACCTCCTGCTCATATTCTTCAATAGCCCCTGCCATTCTCTCTTCACTCCACTGGTTTAGTTTTCTTCCTTTCCTACTTTGCTGTCTTTTCCTTTTCTGTATTGCCCTGTTCTGTCCTGTATTGCTTTCTTCTTCTCTCTCTCTGTCCCTCTCCTCTCTGTATGGATGCCATCTTGTGTATAGTTACCAACCTAAAATGTTATATTCAGACACATTAATACAACTTATAACTTTAAAATGTTATCTTTTGTTCATGAAATGGTTGCATTGTGTTTGCTAGAATTAGTCCTAAAACTGTCCCGCTCAACCTCAAATGCACTGTCCCACTCAACACTGTCAGGTTGAGTGGGACAGTACTGTGAATCTAATTTTCACAAATATTTTATACAATTAGATGCTCATTGTTATTAATCTATAATACACAGACAGTATAAATGTATGCAAAAGCAAAAGTTCTAATTTGTTACATTACAAGTGATGGAATTATCAACCTTATTATTTTAAAATAGATTTGCACTTGCTGGGTGGCTTACCGTGAGGTCCCAGGAGTCAAGCAATTTGAAAAATAACAACCGGACCACATCTGTGATGTCACACCAATCACAACCTTTATTTCATATCCAATGGACATTCAGCTACAACACAGTAATGGTGCGTTCAAGTCCTCCTGGGAAGTTCGTACGTACGAGGTGGGAAGTCGTGTTTACGACGTGAGGTGCGTTCAAGTCAGTTTCGTCGGAGCAAAATGGCGGTGTACCTTCTTTTAATAAATTGCACAAAAATACAGCAAGGTTTGTTAACTCTGCTAATAGAAAATGAAGAACAAAGAATGCGCATCAGGTGTGTTTTTCTTTTTATGTTTTTTATTAGCTTATGAAGCCAATATAAACTCTATCATTATATAATTATTAGGTATAATTTTTATATTACAATGATATAATATTTTGTGCAGAGAGCTTGCTTTATGAATGAAAAAGCCTTACAATGTCACTGCTAAATACCTGTAAGTATTGGGATATATATTTTACTATCACTTTTCTCCCTCTGTCATGTTCCAGACATGCAGTTCTACAGTGCTACTCACTTACAGCCCATAGAGTCCTGAAAACTGGTTTTGAATGGGAAGTCCTTCTGAACATGGATCCTCGCCGTTTTCAAAGTCACATGCACCTCACTAGAGAGCAGTTTAAAGCAGCACTCAGTAAGAATTCCGTTTTTGTCAAACAGCGACCCCTAGAGTCGCTGTGGAGCACTTGTACTGTCGTGAATAGCACTCACGCAGAGATGGCTCGCACTCACGGCCGGATCCCCTCCCCCTGTACACCGGTACCTGTTCAGTAGGATGGACGCTGTAACGAGTGGAAATAAGGTGTGGCCCCTTTAAGAGCTGCGCGCGCCCAACACCACATGTATACGGCGCCGGGTTATTTCTGTTTGATGCTCATTTTATCAGATCTGTTTTTTGCCGTAAAGCAATTCGTTAACTCGCGAGACCTGATATCACACGATACTTCCTAACACTGAGGCCGGCGGCTCGCCGGCCCAAAGTTGCAAGGGTGGTTTTGCGGCTCACAGGCACCAAGGGGGTGCGAGACGACCACCATTCAACACGAAATCAGTAATATAAACATTACAATGACTCCAAAGCTGTTCGGTTAAGGTAAAAAAGTTACTTAGTTCACCTTTAACTGCTTTGTTGATCAGCTGAAAAGATCAGGGGTCTCATTTATAAAACTGTGCGTAGGATCCTTACTAAAAGTGTACGTGCGCCCGAAAGCCAAAAATGGCGTACGTTAAAAAATATTCAGACTTATAAAACCGTTCGTACGCCAGAACCTGCGCAAAATTCACTTTATAAATCCCAGTCAGCGGAAGAATGTGCGCACATGCGTCTCCACCCCGAAATAACCATATATGGAGCTCACAACGCCTAGTTCCCTTTCAAGGGAACTCAACGCTGCGTATAGCGCTGCGGGAACGCCCCTGCGTGATTGCGTCATGAAGCACTCGTGAAATCAGTCCAATGGCGTGACGAGACGTCCTAGGCGGGTGACGTCATTGACCAGGAACCTATAAAGCACCCCTGGACCGAACAAACACTAGCTTCTGTGTCTTCACAAGCGCTCTATGTGAAATCGTAT